TTTAAAGGCTATTGATGTTTTTGTTTGCTCAAGAAGAAAAGAAAAATAATTAGATTTACTTACCGAGATCCTGAGGTTGATAAATGGTTGGTATTGTAAACCTCTGGAGAATACAGAAGTGTTACAAAAGTGCCACTTATGGTTATCAATAGTATGAGTTTTAAGAAAGACAACTTGCATCTTGAGCTTCTATCTTGGACTGATAAATGGAAAGGCTTGTCTGCATCTTTTGCTTTGCTTCTTGGCAATCTACGTTTGTATAAATCTTCGCTGCACCAACTCATCATTCACCACAACTTCATTAGATATAACAAAATCAAACAATTGCAGACTGTTTGGTATATACTGCTCAGTCTCAGCCTCAACTCAAATCTTAGATTTTTCATGACAGCTTTCTAATGAGGTGTTTTTTGTGTTATGTTTCTCCATGGACATTATTTGATTTGGTTTTTGCAGCAGAATAAAATTACATTCCAGTTTTTTCATGAAAAATAACATTAAAACCGCTTAATAGATTGCACCTGATGAGGTAACAAAGCACAATGGTTATAGTTTCTTTGGCAAGTAAAAAAGAGACATCCAAGAATCACCACCACAATTAATTTAATCACTTATTTAATGTTTGTGATTGAATAAAGGAATAAGATGAAGTGAAATCTAAAATAAGAGAGTTGATGAGTCTCACACAGTAATCATTCTGTTCCAAATTTCATGTAAGTTGATCATCATCATTCATCATTCTTAAGCTCTACGCAAGCACGACTGGTTCATTTTCGGGCCTACTACAGATATGATTTCTTAAAGAACTCAAAATGGCATTGTCAGATCGAAACAGCTCATATATACCTTCTAATTTATTTTCTCACTGGAAAATGCAGAAAACATATATAAAAAGTTACAAGCTTTGTGGACTCCCATACAAGCAATGAGCATTATACTAAAAATTATTAATGAAAGAAAATTTCCTTTTAGGATGAATTTAAATATAAACAAATATAACTAGTTTTATTTTATTTAATAAAATTATTTCCAAAACACCCTTTTTGTAATTCTATTTTTAATGATAAATATTTGTAAAAAAGTTATTTAATGAAATTAAATAATGTTATTGACCTTTTTAATTAGCATAAAATTAGTTACTTTTGTGTATACTAAACTTCAGGAAACATTATTCTTAAAGCTAATTTAAATTTTGTTTTTCCGTAAATTGTAACAGCCACTGAACTGGGTTAATCAGGCCAGTTGTTTATACTGTATTATATATGTAGTTGGTGAATCCTGGGAATAGTGCTCCCTAAGTGACTCACTGTTTCTTTGGCTATATACATTTTGCACGAAAGTATGAAATAATGGAAGTGGTTGTTGCTTGGTCAGCTTCCTTCCACAGTAAATAAGAAATATTTTGAGATCAAATGTCGTATTCATTTCCAGAAGATATGAAAATGTTAACTACACGCAGATTCTCACTTATTTGAAAAGGAATTGACAACACTACAAAAATACTTCAACTAGGTGCATGCATGCAAATTGAGCTTGTACACGCAGTTCTTTCAATCATGAGTTTTGTACCAGTTTACCTTAATTGGTTTCTAGGAAACAAATACAGCCACTCACATCATGAATATATGAACATGACACAAAAATAAACACTGCTGGTTTTAGAAAATATAAAATACAACACAGATTAAGTTTATCTAAAAGCACGCACATGTAGTTTTACGACTCCTAACCTTGGCAAAAACAAATTAAAACAGCAAAATCAAATCTCACGATAAAGGAAGAGGAAAGATTTGGCTTTTTAACCTCAAACAGAACATCAAACAATACAAAAAGAGATGGGTCCTAGTTATGATGTAAAATTTAACCTTAGTGCCTGTTAACGAGAACAAGTGCATTGCCCTTTTCATACATCAGTTGCAAACATGACCAGTTCATAAATGATTTTTGGAGTTGTAAAATAATGTTACTCAACACGCAGTCAGCGAACTAAAAAGAAAAGGGAAGAACAATACGTAATATATTGATATAACAGGAAAAAAAAATAGACAATAATTTGAGAATGTATAATGTCAAAAGAATCAATGCTATAGTTACTATAAACATAAAAATATAAAATCCAATAATTTTATCAATTATATGAAATGTATGAATATTAATTAATATCTTACTCTTATCTGTTACTCGTAGAACTATTTAAACAAGAGTCTTATTATATTATATTTTAGTCTATGAAAAAAAAAACAATTGTCTAATTCATAATAGGAACAACTCACAGTGAGCACACTAAATGAGATTAGTTTCTGGTTGAAAAATAGCTGTGCTAGAAAAACAAAACATGATGACAGGCCCCAAGCAAAAAACATGATTATTTGGAGTGAGTTTTGAAGCTAATGGGGAATCTTTGATGATAAAAAAGCAGTTTTGATCCAGAGAAGAAAAAGGGTAAGAAGAGACAGTAACTCACATGGATGCAGGTAAACGGTGTCTAGCTTCAACAGAATGAGGAGAAGCGCCCATTGTTCCTCTCATATAAACTATTCAGCTACAGGGGCATGCAACCATCTGATTATTCTCACCTGCAAAAACTAATAAACTAAATTAGACATATTTATCTGAATTGGTTTTGGATGAACATAGATGAAACAAGTACAAAAAAGGGAAAAGACAAGGACTACATAGTACATGGTAAATTTACTACAACAATGAGAGTCATATACCAAAGTTAACGTAGAGGAACTGAGAAGAGAAACAATGTTGTTGTAGTTGTGAAGCAGAAAGAGAGACAGAGAAGAAGAGAGAGAAGGAAAATGGAAGAAGCAGAAAGAGTTGATAGATGGCATTGTTGAGGGGTTGAATCAATATAGAAGGAGTGAGGCAGTAACGTCCTTCAGAATTTTTCCTTCATCTTTCAGTTTCATTCACGAACTGCTACTCACCAACTCTTGCATCTATCTACTTCTTTTCTTTAATCATTACTCCTCATTTATCACCTTTTTTCTATTCTCCAGTTTCATTGGAGGACAAAATTCTCCTACCTTTTAAATTTCATAAATAATTTACATTTCCTTTACTTTAGTTATGAGATATGGAAACCCTAGCTAGTGTCCCAGTACAAAAATACGTTTGCTGAAATTACAACACAAGAGCATCTTTTTTTTCATTTTTCATGTATGATAAGTTTTTTCTCTTATTAATATTTTGTTAGAGAAGAAAACTATATTTTTTTCTTATAAATTAAATCAGATCAACTTATATAAAATTTACCAAAAACGTAATATCAAGAGATGGGATTTTTTAATTTAAGCAAATGTTTATTTTACACGCCTGGTGACGTAATATCAACTATTTGTTTTTATAAGCTATCCACTATTAATTAATTTCTAGTTACATATATATAACTATGAATTTCTAGTTGACGAGCCACTATAATACAAAGGAGACATGCAATTGTAGCACTTGATTGACAAGAAAAGAATGCATGGCTTCAATGGAAATGGCTTCTAAGATCTTTAAAGTTTTAACTCTTTCAAGTACAAAAGGAAATTAAATTTTTCTCAAAATTATTCTCACCAATTAATATTTATTTAATAATTAAGATATATGCCTAATGCAATATGAAAAGAGAGAGTAGTTTATTATTGCAAATGTCTTTTGGATTATGAAAGCTTAAAGTATTGGTTCATGGTTAAGTTGGAATTGTGTTATTAAATGCATTTATTAATAAAAACCTAGAAACAAAAATGGTCGCTTTAGTGAGAGTTGTTGATACTTGATTGATAGGGATGATTAGGTTAGTGAAAACAATTGTTCATTGGATTTAGAGTAAAGGTGACCACATGTCCCAATCCCATGTCAAATAGGAAAACCTAATATTCATACTTTCTACCAATATTGGTAAATGCATTTAACCTAGGAATATTGTTAACACTTTTACTTTTATGTCCTTCCTTCTATATGGTTAGGGTTTGCATTCCCTCCCTAATTTTCTGTTTTCTTAAAAATAGCATAGTTAAGTAGTAGGTAAACACTCTTATCGTCATTTAATTTTCTCTAATGTTTCATACTAATGAAAAGTTCATCTGCATTTGAAGAAATGGGGTGCCAACATCAAACACCTAATCAGCTGCCACGACAACAACACATGACACGAGTTTATTATTATTTTCTCTTTTCATTCTTATAACGCAACTATAATTAAATAGTCCTTCAGATTTTTGACATTTGTTTAGGTGTCCTTTCATAGACTATTTCACCAAACCCACGGTCGTCGTGGCACAACAAAAATTCGTCAAAACGGCTATGAAAAGGTTAATTAACTGAAAAGACTTGTTATTGATAAGAAAAGGAACATTGCACCAGTTGACCTCCCCTGTTCCCTCTTGCCCCAAGGATTTGTTTTACATCTATGGCTCTTAGTCTTTGCACTTAACACAAACACTTTATGTAAACAATTTTCATCTTATTTCACCCTTCGCTTTGTTTCTACAGTCACAGTAAATGTCACTTATCTGTCCACTTTTTAATTATTACATTTATACCCAAAAAAACTATGCTTTAACTTACAAATTATTCTCACAGTTTGCTTAATCTCCAAATTTTAAACTACTACTGAAATATAGTATTATATAACTTGTTTCTTATAAAAGAAAAGACGGAAAAGAACATTAGTGATAATTTACAACAACATTCGTTTTAAACTTACTCTTTCTTTTTTATTAACATCACTCATGACATTTTAAGACTTTCATTCAAAAAGGGTTAGTAGCAGATTCAATGTTGTGAATAATTTTGTATAGAAGCACCCGTGCTTTAGTAAAAAATGGGAAAAGAGTTGAAAGCATATGTGTATATGGTAAAGCAGAAGGCAGAACAGGTGGCAGAGTTATAACCGAAGAGGCTTGTATCTTAATGCTTGGGGAAGACTTGCTATAGTAAGTCACAAGGAAGTCTTGCACCCATCGCTACGTATGCCTGCTATTTCCGTCCATGCATTACAATTGCGATAAATAATATTAATGTATAAAGCCATTAACGGATATAAAATTCTTTATAATCCCCCACTGAGACTGTATGGGATAACGAAAAATGGAGACGTGAGGCAGTATGTGTACCGTATTGCAAGCAAAGCAATAAGAACTCAATGCTATAGCTTAAATTTTTGCACGCTTGTGAATCATGACAAGACGAAGCAGATTCTGTGCATCCTAGTTATATCCATTTGCTTTACGCTGTTCAGAATTGTTAAGTGTTGACATCTTAAGAAGGGACCACTTTTTGAAAACTGTCCTCTTCACTACCTGCAGATTAGATATAACTGGAAGTTTGTATCGACAAAAGAGAGGAAATATAGGAAGAAGCTACGCTTTATCTCATAATTATACATGGTGCACGAGAATGACAGGGTTGTCTCTTCCCTCTGAACCTAAAATATCATGTACTCTTACAAAGCTTAGGTTTTTGTGCTGTAACATCAAACTCGTTACAGTATTTTAGGACGTATCTTTACAGATATACATAATGATAGGACTGGTTATTTAACTTACGGATTTTAATACGCTTATATCATGTGGCCTGAGCACAATAACAAGGCTCAATCGTTCAACGGTTATTAATAGTCGCTTCCAATTGATATCTGAACAGCTTATCTTTGTGTTCCTGACCATGCAAGCTTTCTCTTTTCCTATTTGATAATCGTTGTTCTCAACTGCATCAAGCGATACACATTGCCGCCATGCAGGGCAGTTAGGATTTTATGGAAACTCCATAAGCAAACAGAGCACCGCATATGCTGTAGGATTTTCAACCGCCAAACGTAACAATTCAATTATTCGGATGTACAACACTGGAATGCACTTGCAATGAAAGGGGGATCACAAGGTTGCGTAACAAGTCATTGATTTAGGCTCAAGATACCAAAAGAGAGGGGGAATCAGATTTTTCTTGAGTTTTCAAGGACAAGTCGATTCATTAAACCTTTTTTTTCCTTGTAAGGCAAAATAAAAATTAATTCTTTCGAAGAATGAAGCTATCATGTTCCAACTAAAAATATAATAAAACTCAGGCATCAAACTTCAGAAAGATAAACGTGTTCTGATATTTTCCTTTTCATTTGTCAATTATAGATTCAGTTGAATTATTTTTACATAGCGATGAACATTTTCTCTAGTAGTAAGAGAATACTTTCTTTTTTTTTTCAAACCATTTGAAGATTGATTAAATAAGCAAGACCAAAATTATGATATGCCATGCTACGTTGGGAAAAACATAGTATCGGCTTATCCGCATTACTATCGATAGAATCACAAATCAGATCCAGATTTTTCCTCTTTAGGAGGAGCAAATTGTCTACTGAGACGAGAACGTGTCCAGGGGTCTAGGGGTGCTCTCTGTGGCGGCTGAGGAGTTGGTGGCTTTGCCTGCCTAAGCTCATTTTCTCTGTCAATAAACCTGTTTCAAAGCATACAATGTTTTTGAATATAAAGTTCATTCTCAACCTCCTAATTCTTAAGCAACTTGGAAGATTTAAAGGATTGAACTATGTCAACACCGTATAGCAGACAGGCAACAGCATGAACAGTGAGCAAATAAATACTTTTTCGGTGAAATTAAGCGGGGCTACCCAAATAAACCTAAAATGAGTGTAAATATAGAATATAAAACTGTACTCACTCAATATAGGCCATTGGTGCAGCATCACCCACTCGAATTCGGGTCCGAAGCAATCTGGTGTATCCTCCAGCTCTATCCCTGCACAACATAATCTCTGGTCAGTGTTACAACTATCTATCATAAATGACAACTGAAACTATATCAGGTTTATTCCTTACTTGTACCGATAAGCCAGTTCTGTAAACAGCTTGTGAAGGACATCATCTCCTCGCACAAAACTAGCAGCACGACTTGCAGCACATTGGGATCCCTAAAATGATTTATAATATAAACTTTAGGCCAAACCCAGCAATCAAGCTAAATGAAAAAAGTCAAATGATTACCCTGACAAAGAGTTTATTCCCCACCATAGAATGACCCATAATTCTTACAAAGAAGAGAGAAGACAATTATGTCTTACGTGTATCATCATATAGGGACAAATTCACTTCACAGTTCACAATACCAAATTCCTTCCCCAAACCCTAATTTCCCATATGCCCTGATTGAGGTGGAAAAGGAGCAAACAAGAAAAACTGAGACAACCTAACTTGGCCTAAAATTAAAAAGCCACTAAGTGGGATATCAACAGTTGCCACTAGAAAATATAGACCTCCAATAAATTTTGAAATGCATACGGAGGTAAGAACACCAACTACAAATTGAACAATCAAAAGATATTACGCATCAACCAACCCCTTAATAAATTCATCCCTGTTTTTAAAGTAATGTTCGAAGACAGATCAACCAAAAGCTACACAAAAGTTACAGCTCAAATTTAAATTAACCAAACCCAAAATGAATCAGAAATAATCGATGATGAATAGCACACAAACCTCCTTTCCAAGCTGAACCATATTATCGGCGAGTCGTCTGATCTCTTTGGCCTGAACAAAACCAAATTACATGAAATAAAATGTGATATTGAAGAAAATGGTAAACAATGTCGCTTGAAATGGTACCTTGGCCACAGTAGTTTCGATACGCTCGTGTTTCACCAACTGCGAAACCATGGTTCTATATAAATGGAAAGCCAGCCAGGACTCAGCATCTTTGCAAACCAATAAATCAAAGAATGAACTGAATTGAAAGTGTTAACTAACAAACTAATAAACCTGAGCATGGACATCCGATGACCGGTGGGTCGACCCAGCTTCCTGAATTTTGTCATTTTCGTAATCCAGTTAATTCTATGGGTGAACGCCTAAAAAAGACTCCTGCTTCGGGGATAGAAAAAAGATCTAAAGATGTAATGGTACAACATGTAGGATTGACCAAACAAGTTTCTTTCCAATAACATCAGTCAAACATATTTTAGGCAAGTGTAGCATACGAAATTTATTTCCACACAATTAATTTCCATACGAAATAAAGATGAAATGGTTGCACAACATGTAGAATGCTCATTATAAAATGGAACAGAGACAACCAAGCAGATAGTCCAACACAAGAAGATGCAATGATAAAAAGGCCTTTATTATGCATTTTTAGTCTAAACCAAAGCATAGCTTTAGTGATTCCTCACTAAGAAAAGATAACCTATTAAGATTTAAGAATACACTGTCACGGCAACTATAATGATTCCCCATTCTCATGTCTCCAAAATTCTTTCAATGCCAAAGGGTGAATCGCTAACTAGGATACTGTCATATGGTCTCACAAAGATAGTGACCATAGAGGCTAGCGCAAAATAACCACATGAGGAAGTTACTTACTCCAACACTAGAAGAATGATTAATAGTATTGAAAGAGCGAGAAGAAGAGCCTAGTTATCATTAGTACTCTCCTCTGTATTTTCTCTCCTTCCTAGTGTTTTTTCCCTAACTGGCAATAGTTATTTATCTGGCTGGTATCATACTTCATATTAAATAAAGGCTACGCAAGTACAATTCCATTTTCTAGCTTCCGTTTATGTTTTACTAACCGGTAGTTTTCACGTAAACGACATTGATAACTCTATTGATCCTAACGTACATAAAAAAGGAAAGAAAAATAAGGTCGAATATCCGACATTCACATTCAAGCACTGAGGCTCGAAAAACAGAGAAAAACAACATAAATTAGGCTTCAAGCAAGTTCCAAATTGAAATTAAAGGAGAGGATTTAAACCCTAAATAAGAAGCGGAAAGGTAAAAGCATAGTAAGGTTGAGAGAAGACTCACGAGTTAGTGGTGAAGAGAAAGTAAAGAGCGAAACCCTAGAGTGGAGCTTGTGATTGTGCTATGTCTAAGCTGCCAGAGAAAGAAAATGAGCTTCGCTTGGCTTCTCTTTCCTCGGCAAATATCTGCGGGATTTGATTTTTACTTTTCTATTTTTACTTTCTCACCTTTCATTTTCTGATCCAAAAGTAAACCTAAATTTAAATTGTATTATCAAGTGAATAAATATTTCAAATATATAAATTAGACTTTAGTTTTTATAAATATTTCTTATATTATAATATATTATTATCTTATGTACTAGTATCTCTTTAATAAAATATTAAATTTAAATTTAAAAATAAAGATAAAAACAATATAATCAAATGTATACGTAACTAGTTTAGTGATATGTGGGTACGTGGGTTATTTTTTAATAATTGTTTTTTTATATAAAAATAATAAATTGTTAAATTATTATGTAATGAAATATGATGAAAATTAGGTGTAAATAATTGTATTGTATGTTCATCTGACTATAACTCTTTTAGCTGAACTCCTCTAAGCTGAGTTTTTCCGGCTGAGTTTTTCCGGCTGAGTTCCTACAGACTGACCTTTTCTAGATCGAACTCTTTAAGGTCGAGCCTCTTTAGACTGAGCTTCTACAAACTAAACTCTTACAAATGTCGAGCTCCTCAAGCCAAATTCTTTAGGTTGAGCTCCTATAGATCAACCTCCTTATTAACACCCCATATTTTTTTCCTTTTCATTTTATAATTTGTTTTTAGTTTCAATTAGATTGTAAATTTCTAGAATTAGGTTAGATTTTAAAATCTGTAAATTGTAGTTCTTTCATGTTATTCTTGTATTTTTTGGTATAATCCTTTTTTGAAGTTCAAGTTTATGTTAACACAGTTCTATATATAGTTTGGGACTAGAGAAGTCAGCTTGAATCAAAGTCATTGACCAAGCAGTTGTAGGAATCTCTGTATTGTGGATCTGCACAAGATAGCATGGCTTCATCAATGGAGAAATCTCTAAAAGAGTTGGCCAACTAGGAGATGGGTCACTAACTAATACGCACTCATTTACCTCAAGCACAAAATATACCTAGATTTAAGTTGAAAGTGTTATGAATGAGAAGCATTGATGCTTTGAAGAGATTTTGATGATGATGTACTTGAAGTCTTGAAGAATTAGTTACATAAATTTTAAAACATTTTTGTAGAAAACTTTGTATTAGGCTTTTACTTTCACTTGTAAAACATTAAGAGTCTTGTAACGTGTTTTTTAGTATAGTTTATTTGCGGCAATAATCGATAATCATGTGTAGAATGAGAAAACACTTCAATTTGGAAATAATTGATTATCTATTAGGATAATCAATTATCACCAAAAGTTATGATTGACCAAGGTTCGACAATAATTGATTATCATTAAGGATAATCGATTATCACTACTTTGAAAACCTTATAACGGTAAAAAATAATCGATTATCACTTTTGGCAATCGAATATTATTGGCAGTTGGGAGTTGCCTTTTCAGTTTCTGACATTACTCGAACCTTGGGCTATAAATAGAGTTCTTTCACAACTCTAAGAAGGTGATTGAAACTATTGCAGAGTACAAAATTGGTTCTAAGGAGGCTCTAAGGGTTTAAGTGTGCTTGATTAAGTGCTTGAAGGATGAGAAACTGATATTAGTGTGTCTAAGGTGGAAGTAGTTCTCTACCAAGCTTACACAAGTTGTTTTCATTCTTTCGTGTGTCGAAGGAAGGTGTTGCTGTCATCTCTTATCGGTTAAGAGAGTTGTTTTCTACTTCATATTGTTTTCACTTGTCTTGTATTATTGAACTATCTTTTGTGAAAAGTTAATCACTTATTTTAGAGTGATTAACAACTGGATGTAGAATCTTTTGATTCGAACCAGTATAAATATTGTGTGTGTTAATCCTCTCATCCTTTCTCTATTTTACTTTATTCTCTTCGAAGAAATTTTTAAAGGGAAAACGAAACATTTAATAGAACTAATTCACCTCCCCTCTTGGTTTGTGTCTCAACACACTTTTAATCATTCCGTTGCATGATACCTATTCCAATATAAAGTGACATGTCCTAAATTCTACGATGAACGAGTTTACAAAAACCATTAAATTTCAAAACTTTATCATAGCGCGAAAACGTATTTTTCAAAAACCTTAACCTTTCAACATGTATAATTTATTCAAAACATAATAGTTCCTAAGCCTTGTCCAATTACATTATTCCAAAAGTAATTAAAATGAATAAGGAAATAAAACAACTACAATTACTTTGTTTCAAAAGTGTATACCTAAAGAACTTTTTAAAGAAACCCAAATCTTTCCCCCGTCATCTCACGAATCTATCATGCCTCTGGAACATCTGCAATATCATCTGCTCACGTATACCACATTATACGATCATCGCCGATAATTTAATTCATAAACACACAAATACAAACATGTATGAGGTAAGTTATTGATAAAACAATCATAACAACAAGATCATACATACTCATTGTATACCTTATAATCAAACACACAACAAGATACATACCTTCTGATTATATCCACCCTAATCAAACAACTCATACATAGAAGTAATAACAATAGGATTCCTAATTCTCTAACATAAACAATTCAATCATAATGAATTACTCGATCTTCGATCCCCGATCCTCAAACTTCCATCCTTGATCCTTGATCTCTAACCCTTGATGTCATCACTAACATCTCACACATAAACCTTTGGTCTATCCACTCATTAGCACCTAGACATCATCCATGGATTCAAGCTACACATACCCTTTTAAACATACTCAAACATATACATCACAATACTTAAATCATCCAAACCTAATCATTATACATGTTATACCCAAACAAACCCAAATATACTACATATGATTATCATAACACCCTTACAACATATATTTGCATGAAAACCCCCAAGCATCATAACTTTGTTCTCCCTTAACATCAAACCCTCTATTGGAATAACCCAACAAACCATACATACATTCATAGGGAAAACCCAACACAAATATTACATAAACCCTATACTCATGCATACATAAACCCTTGCCCAACAATAGCAACAGATGATCATAATCATAATATTATAAACATGTATCAACAAGGATTATCAATCAAGATAATCAACAACACATATAACATAACAAACACACAATGGTAAACTTCCACATACCTTGGCCAATACTAGGGCTTTATCTACAACCCAAAAACACCACCAATCTTCCTTTGCACTAAGAGTTTTGTTACTCTCTCTCTGTCTCCCAAAAACGCCTGTCTTTTCTCTTTCTTTGTTTTCTTTCTTTGATTTAGAGTTTCTAGAATTTCTAAAGCATAACACCCCCATCTTTCTATATCTTAATACTTATAAATCAACCCAAATCTATCTCTAATATTTTCTCACTTATAATAATATACTTTATTCTAATTTATTAAAATAAGTCTATAAATAATATATTACCATTATTATTATTATTATCATCATCATCATTATTATTATTTAATAATATCTAAATACATCCAACAATATCTTAACATATCTTTTAATTAGAAATATCTCAAAATATCTTTTAAGATGTCTAACAATACCTAATAATGATTTTATCTAATAATAATATCTCTTTTAATATTTAAACTCATCAAGATTATATCTCATATTTCCATTTAACTAATTTTTAAAATAACAACAACTAAGTCTTCTAAAATATTTACATAATATATTTTTATTAATTTTCCATATTATTTAATTTGCACGTTTTTCCTTTCTACATCCCTAATTTAATTTTACACCTAATTAATAAAAGGTAAAAGACCATTTTGCCCCTAGTAAACAATATAAATAAAATAGAATAAATAACATAACAATTATGTTCTAAGAAAAATGTACACACTCAAGAACACTAATTTCCAAACAAAAACCTAAAGTCTCAAAACTAATTTATTTTTAAGACCCGTATTTTTTTAGATCTTACATTCACCCTTCCTCAAAAGAATTTTTGTCCCAAAAAATTACACTCATAAGGAAGCATACACCATGCCAAACTTCAAATACTCCCAAAAAATCACATAAACGCTAAACACATAAATTTTCATAATACAACGACAACAACAATTTCTGAACAGATCAAAAGAACATCACAACAAATTGCTCAATGTATCATACAAAACAAAAACCACAATCTATTCAAAACTATAGATAGAAGGAAAGACTTTACAAATGTCCTCATTATGCAAACAAGCTACACATATTCACAATAAAAATTAAGTCTATTCTAAAGCAATTTACACATAAATTACCAAACCCTATACAAATAGAAACATTGGACTCCTTCACAAGAGATGCAACAACGATAACACATTCATACATATACACATGCAATCCACAAATTCATACATACGCTTGCAATCCACTAGTCCTTCAAATATCATCAACGTCTTCATCATCAATTCCTCAATTCTCGATGTCATCACGAACATCACTCACATAGACCATTGATCTATGCCTTCACCGACACTATACTAATTACACTTCCATAGTAACCACCATGATAACAACCACATCACTATTAACATAGCATCATCAGAAGCATAATTATCACCACCATCATGAATATCCCCTACATGAATACCACCATCATGAATATCCCCATCATGAACATCACCATGAGCATCCACATCATCATTAACTCCTCCATGGTAGACTGATTCACACTCTTATACCCTACCTAAAACACCTGTTATACCAAACAAGCCCGCTCAAGTTGTCCTACCTTCGCGACTAAAAGACCTGTTTCCCTGCTCCGCAAGGACTTACGAGTAAAAATGTGGGCACATTGCACACCAGCTACTATCCTCCACAACAAGCTAAAGACTAGACAAAAAATCATTCCCCCAATATAAAGAAGGTGCAACTCTCGAACACCACTCTCTTTTTGCACATAAGGCCAAAACGAGTCCCTATCTAGTATTGAACGGTACATAGTACCAATTCAAGATTTCTTAGGTACAACAAGCAAACACGCCCTTCACATCTCATGCTTATTGGTCAACAACACATCTTGGTACAATTCATCACTTATCCATGCTCCAACATCAATCCAAAGCCCA